GTTCAGGGCCTTCATTTACTCATGGGGCACAACTCAAAATGAAGAGAAACAGATGCAAATATCCATTACAAATCGGAACATGGAATGGACAAAGTATGAATCTAGGAAAATCATAAAAAAATGAAATGGAACACATAAAGGTCAATATCCTTGGCATTAGTGAGCTGATGGACTGAAGTGGGCCATTTTGAATCTGATGATCTCATGGTCCACTATGCTGGGAATGAAAAATTTTAGAGGAATGGTGTCACAGTCACCATCAAAAAGAACATTTCAAGATCTTCCTTGAAGTACGATGCTCTCTGTGATAGGATAGCCATACGCCTACAAGGAAAACCAGTTAATACCCCTAATATTCAAATTTACACTCAAGCCAATGATGAAGAAACTGAAGAATTCTACGAGGTGTGTTAGTCTGAAATTAATCAAACATGCATGCAAGATATATTAATAATCAGTGGTAATAGGAATGCAAAGGTTGGAAACAAAGAAGAAGGATCAGTAGTTAGAAAATATGGCCTTAGTGATAGAAACAATACTGGAAATTGCATGATAAATTTTTGCAAGACTAATGATTTATTCAAGGAGCTCTGTTATTGTAATGGTTACAAATCGGGCTGCAAACTGCAAGGTCAGCAGTTCGAAACTACCAGCTGTTCCATGGGAGAAAGGTGAGGCTTTCTGCTCCGTAAAGATTTACAGCCTCGGAAACCTTGTACAGGGTCGCTATGAGTCGGTACTGACTCCACGGTACATAACCACCACCACCAATGACTTATTCATTACAAACCCTTTCTGAAACAACATATACCTCACCAAATGGAATGAATGCACAGAAATCAAATTGACTATATCTGTGGGAAAAGATGGTGGAAAAGTTCCATATCATCAGTCAAAACAAGGCCAGAGAAAGAGACCATCAATTGCTCATATGCAAGTTCAGGCTACAGTTGAGGAAAATTATAACAAATCCAGGAGAGCCTAAATATAACTTGGAATATATTCCACCTGAATTGAGAGATCATCTCAAGAATGGATTTGATGCATTAGACACTAATGACCTAACACCAGAAAAGTTGTGAGATGACATCAAAAACATCATGCAGGAAGAAAAAAAAAGTCATTAAGAAGACACAACAAAGGAAAATACCAAAATGGATGTCAGAAGAGACTCTGAAACTTGCACTCCAATGTAGGGATGCTAAAACATACAGAAGAAATTAAGAAATAAAAGAGCTGAACAGAACATTTCAAAGGGCATCTTGAAAAGACATAGTCAATAGTATAATAAAATGTGCAAAGATCTGGATTTAGAAACAAAAAGGGAAAAACATACTAGGCATTTTTCCAGCTAAAAGAACTGAGGAAAAAATTCAAGCCTTGACTTGAAATATTGAAGGATTCTATGGGCAAAATATTGAATGATGCAGAGAACATCAAAAGAAGATGGAAGGAATACACAGAGTACCAAAGAGAAATGGTCAATGTTCAACCACTTTGAGAGGAAACACATGATCAAAAAATCAATGATACTGAAGAAAGAAGTTCATAGTGCACTGAAGCCATTGGTAAAGAACAAGGCTCTGGGAATTGATAGAATACAAATTAAAATCTTTCAACAAACTGATGCAGCACTGGAGTCACTCACTCTTCTATGCCAAGAAATTTGGAAGAGAGCTCCCTGGACCAACTGATTTGAAGAGATCAATATTTTTGCCCATTCCAAAGAGAGATGACCCAACAGAATGCAGAAATCATCAGACAATATCACTAATATCACATGCCAAGTAAAATTTTGCTAAAGATGACTCAAAAATGGCTGCAACAGTATATTGAGAGGTTACTGCCAGAGGTTTAAGCGAGATACAGATGAGGGCACGGAACAAGAAATAGCATTACTGATGTCATTTGGACCTTGGTTGAAAGCAGAGAATAACAGAAAGATGTTTACCTGTGCTTTACTGACTATGTAAAGGTTGTGTGAATCATGACAAGTTATGAATAACATTGCAAAGAATGTATATTCCATAATACTTAATTTTGCTCATGAGGAACCTGCACATAGACCAAAAGGTAGTTAACCTAACAGAACAAGGAGACACTGAATGGTTTTAATCAGGAAAGGTGTATGCCAGGGTTGTATTCTTTCACCATACGTATTCAATCTGTATGCTGAGCAAACGATCAGAGAAACTTGATTATATTAAGAAGAATGCAGCACCAGGATTGGAGGAAGAATCATTAACTCAGATATTCAGATGATACAACCTTGCTTGCTGAAAATGAAAAGGACTTCAAAATACTTAGTGATGAAGATCAAAGACTTCACTTCAATGTAAAGAAAATAAACATCCTCACAACTGGGCCTCAATGTAAAGAAAATAAACATCCTCACAACTGGGCCAATAAATAGCATCATGATAAATGGAGGAATGATTCAAATTATCAATAACTTCAATTTATTTGGATCGGCAATTAACACTCAATGAAGCAGCAGTCAAGAAACCAAAGACGTGTTGCATTAGGAAAATATGCTGCACGAGACCTCTTTAAAGTGTTCAAGAGAAAAGATGTCAGTTTGTGGAATAAGGTGCACTTAATCCAAGCCATGGTACTATCAATTGCCTCATATGCATGTGAAAATTGGACAATGAATATGGAAAACTGTAGAAGAATTGATGTATTTGAATTATGGTGTTAGAGAAGAATATTAAAAGTACATGGACTGCCAGAAGAATAAACAAATCTGTGCTGGAAGAAGTACAGCCAGAATGTGCCTTAGAAGTCAGGATGGCCAGACTTCATCTCTCGTACTTCAGACATATTATCAGGAGGGACCAGTCCCTGGAGAAGGAGATCATGCTTGGTAAAGTAGAGGATCAGCAAAAAAGAGGAAGACCCCTAACAAGATGGATTAGCACAGTGGAAGCAGCAATGTGTTCTAGCAAAAATTGTGAAGATGACGGAAGAACAGACAGTGTTTCATTTATTGTGCATAGGGTCACTATGAGGGAGAACCGATTCGATGACCCCTAACAACAATAACAAATCAGAAAGCATTAGACCATTAAGAGAAAAACAAGTAAAACTATGATGAACTCAGGGAAAAAGAAATTTATTCAACACCATGGTCTACTCGTGCATAAAAACAGACTTGGAATTTCAAAATCCAATCCTTGTCAAAATAATTAAAAACCTCAAATTACCTCTATTTTACCACTTAACATTACACAGAACACACTGGCACTCAATCCTCCTCCCCATTATATATTTTAAGCATCAGAAAGTAGGGTCATAGTTTTCTCAGCTCTGTGGCCTCTTCTCTTACTCTTACTCCTGTAATCACTCAACATATTCTTATTGAATCAACCTAGAATACTGAGGTCCAAACTATATAGATTATATTCCAGTAATAATAATTCACAATTTGGGAGAACTTTGGAAATCAAGTAATCTTAAACATCAATGCTACAGAAATCTATTGTCATTAAGATCTTGATATAATCTAAATGTTTAAAATATGAAGATATGTCAACAGAGTAATGAAGAATATAGTCTCCATACACGATACACACTTCCAGTTCATGAGCCAATTAATTTTACACTCTAAACCAGTAGTCTATTAACTTTGTTGCACATTAGTGTCACCTGGGAAGCTTTTACAATCCCAGTGCTCGAGTTTCATCATGTAATAATTAGATCAGAATATCTGGGAGCAGTATCTAGGAATCATAATTTCTAAAGATCCCCTGTGTGCCAATGTGCAGAAAATTTAGGAACCACTGCTCTAATACCAGTACATCAGCATCACCTGAGGACATGTTAAAAATGTAGTATCTGCTTTCCGGCAAGATGGCAGACTAGGCAGATGCATTACATAGATCCGCTACCATAAAGATACAAAAGATCAAATAAAACAGACTCAGATGATGTTCTGGCACCCTAAACTTCACAAGAAAGTTTAGAGA